AAAATAAATTTGAAAAATCTGACATTCCTCAAGCGTGTTTCATTTAAACGACAAAAGAGTACAGAGAATGTGGCTAGCTAGTTTCACTAAAATCAACTGACCTCAGAAAAAGGCAGGACTTAGGCAGGTGGATTCGAATGCAAAAACCTCGAGTTTGCTTGCACTGACCACAGACTGATAGGTCTCTAATATCATACGGTGCACAAGGGGAAGAGGGCCATGAAGTGTGCCCCATACTTGGACTTAACAGGGAGGGGCTGCGATGATGAACCATGCAGATGCCTACGTCTGATACGCTCTGTTACAGTTTCTCATAATGCTAGTTATTGATCGAAAGAGAGCTGCACTCATAAAGTATTCCACAAGTGAAATATGCATTCTAATGTGTTTTACAGGAAAGAGGCCTTGTCTTGGAGTATCATCAACAAGGGTAAACAGTTACTTGAAAGCATAAGAATATCTGAATCGACACTTTAAAAATATCTGCAAAGTAGGCTTCCCTCCAAAAATATTTTTCAACCAAAAACTCGCTCATAGAATGCCTTTCTTACTAGGTGCGTGCACCCCACATTCAGGCCAGCACAGTTCCTCAAGAGGCTTTTTAAAAACTACTGCATGAATGTTCCCTATTTACTTGCGAAATCCTCGCACTTTTTCTCGCGGAAAACCACTGAAAAGTTACGGAGTGCGAGCATTGCGCGAGGAAAACTTTCCAAGAAAACGTACAGAGCTGGAGAATAAACACCGAAGTGGCTGAAAATTGGGGTTCTCACGCTAGCACTACGAGAAGTACCAATCAAGACTTTTCCTAAGAATAAACCACAAGTTAACCATAAGGCAAGATTTACTTGAGGCACAAAAGCTGCAAACAAACAGTAGAGACTTTTCAATACATAGAGAGCCATCCACTTCTACCCTGAACACCGTGCCATGCGGCCGGCGTAGGATTCCTCGATGCGCGCGCCCGCTTGGAGGGTGTAGTCATTCTATGAAGGGGGGAGTGCCGCTATAGTTATCTAGAGCACTATTGTGCCGCCTTCCGATCGGCGGCCGCCATTCGGCTCCCCCTGTCTCGTCGTGGCTGGTTGAGTGAGACACGTGCGCGGCGTTTTCTGGGGCAAAATATTCAGAAAAAAATATTCCACAGCACACACGACTGTTTTGACCCCCGAAATTCGTGATGAATATATTATGTAGGCCTGACGTAACATCTTGCAATGCTTAAAAATTTTGATTAGTTGCTAACCTGCATACAAAATAATGTGACTAGTCCGTCGATCTTAGAGCACTGATATTATAACATTTGTGTGTTACCAATAGCGCTGGTGTCATATGCTACCGCATTTAGCTTGCCAATATTTCCACCCTTAATCACGGTTTACCGGTAGCTGTGTTTCTTCGTGCCATTCATGCAGTCAAATCAACAAATTTTCTAATCAAATTTTTAGCGGAACTCGTACGGGGCAATCAGTGCACCAAACAAGAGCCGATCAGAAATTTTTACTGCTGTGAACTGGTGAAGAATAACGCTTCATACTTTTTTGTGTCTGGGTGCCGCAAGGCCCACTTATAGCTTCATATTTGTCTTGGTTCGAAACGTTCGCCCATTGCGGTAATTTATTGTGACCCTTCAATTTGTAGCGCCGTCAAACTTTCCTTTTTTTATTGCCACGTGATAAAATGGCTGTGTATGTTCGGTAGTACTTCACTCAAGTATTGCCTCCCGATCAAAGGACCATGCCGAACGATGAAAGATGACGCATCGTAGATTTATGGCTGCGAGAATATTCTCAACGTGCTATATCTGCGATTGGAAACTGTTCTCTTGCAACTGTCAACCGGATCATTCAAACGTAGAGGAATGAAGGACACGTTGGAGACGCCCCTCGGCATCCTCGTCGCCGTGTGACTACAAAAGACGAAGACCTGCAAATTGTGGCAGCCGTAGCGGAACCGCCGAAAACTACAGTCCGAAAAGTACAGGCTGAGCTTGGACTCAACCACGTTTCGGCTACAACCATTTAGCGCCGCCTCTACAACACAGGACTTGGAAGCCGAACGGAAGCTGCTCATGCGAGCTGAAAACAAGGTGAAGCGGCTTCAGTTTGCTGAAGATTACACCCACTGGTCTGCATCTCACTGGAAACGCGTGGTATTGATGGACCAGTCCACGTTCAAAACTCAGTGGGATCAAAGGACACGAGTTTGGCGCCCCATGAACACATGGTATGTAAAGCAGTGCTTTCAAGCTTTCAAGAAGCAGTCGTGTTTGTGTGTATTTCAGCCGCTCTTTTTAGCAGCGCTAATTTTTTGTAATATGACTGTGCAGTTCATGTGCAATACTTTATTGATTCCAAGTTAGTAGCAAAATATAAATCTATTGGTTACTTAATGTAATGTGCGAGTCATATCTAATAGGAAGGTAATCCATTGAATTTATTAGGCACTGAGAACAGCCCCTCGAGCTTTCGCTGTTATCCAGCACACTAAACAATGTTATCTTTTTCGGTACGCGTGATGAAAAGTGTATGTATATTAAGCGAGTTTATATTGAAAATTCTTCGTAACTCAATTTAAATCAATTTAAATCATGAGGTAACCCACGAAGGCGACTTTAAATTATAAAGTTTATGCACGTGTGACTCAGATTTGGAGAAGCACGCCCGAAAGCCTCTGTAGACGACCAACAGGTGAAGTAGTCAGTGGCTATGGCATCTCGGGCCTAGTTTGCTAAAGCTCGCTGTCTCTATTTTTATGAGAACCTCATTTGGCCCTCGGAGCCCCTTTTATCATACCCATGGCACAATAAAAAATAACAGTATCTACCACGAGTGTTTGGCCCCAGCACCTAATGTCCCCAAGGTAACCACAAAAAATCTCTTATTATTGGCTCGGTCAGTACTTTGTAGCGCTACTATTTTCCACGTTTAAATGTTGCAGCATCATAAGGCCATCTTTGTCCATTAATAAACTATACTTGTTCATTTTCTGCAGATATATTCCACCATACATACAGCGAGTAGCCGCCTGTGGTCGAAGTTCAGTGACTGTCTGGGGGGCAATCACAAAGAATGGCCTCGGTCCTTTCGTCAGCCTGAGAGCTACTGCTCCATCCTAGATGATGTGGCGTTGTCATTCCTTTTGGAGGAAGCGTTTCGAGATGGAGACTTCATCGCCATCCTTCAACAAGACCGCTCCCCAATACACACGTCCAAGCTGACTTCATCTTTCTTGCAAGAGCGTGGGGTGGCGTGCTGGAATGGCTACTACAATCCCCAGACAGGAACATCATTGAGAACATATGAGGAAACATGAAGGCAGCGTTGTGCTCCAACAGCCTACATGGCTTGTCTCCGAACAACCTGTGGTCAGCAGTACAAAGCTGCTGTGAGGAAGCCAGGGCGAACGTTCAGACATGCGACGCCTTGTATGCGTCTCTTACGGATAGGATGAGAGTGGTGATCGAGGCTCATGGTGGTGCAACCCGTTTCTAAATATTCTAATAGTTATCTAACTATAAGAGTTGAGTTAACTGAAAAGCAGTTGTAAATGTTGCAACATTTTATTTTTACTTTCAGATGAGCTTGAACAGAATGGTTTTGCATTTCTTGACCAGATGAGATTAAATCATGTTATGCACCCTTCTATCAGTTTCAATAACAGTGCATTGCAGCCGGTGCAATGCTACAGCGTTCACACTTTATACCTGGTGTAATACACCCAGTTTTATTTTTATTGTGGTTCTTGTGGCGCCCAACTTTGGCCTAATCAGAAAAGACGTGTGAGCTGTGGGAATATTCTTTCTGTTTCGCCGAATCACTTAGTTGTGGCAGTGGCAGCGCGGCATGAAATTTTATTCATGCACGGGGCGAGGTTGATTACTTGTACGATCGCTTGCGGAGAAGGCACAGTCCCTTCGCTTCCCGAGAACCGCGCCGGCTTCTCAATTGGCGTGCGCACATAACAAGAGCAATGTTTGATTCACCGCAAAGCAGGCGCATTTCGGTTAAAGGGGTACTGACGCAAAAAATTTGGCCTCGCGTTTTTCTGCTGCAATGCGTTGCTGTAGGGCTGTTAGTCATGACGCGACACATAGTTTGCTGCAGCACACCATAAATAATTAATTACAGGTCCCTCATTATCGATCAGTTTCAGTTTCGATTTGAGAGAGTTCAAAAAACTGGATGCAACTGTCGCCACCTAGCGTGTGCAACTCTTGACCACGTCAGCATACAGAACTGTGACGCACTTCCGCACGATCCACATCAAGAATTACTTTCGAATAGGAAATGGCACTGGAATGTCACTAAACACAAAACTTTCTAAGCGTGTGGCACAGCCACGCACTCGCAACCAGCCGCCGAGAAATATAGACTTCGGGAACTAACATGGCAAAAGAAAAAGGCAATGGCTGCTGCGCCGCGCGGCGCTGTAGCCATCCCCACACAGAACTGGCTGCTGCGCCGCACGGAAGTGACGTCACAAAAATTGTCATGACATACGTCGTTTCCGATTTAGCGCGTTGTTCGAATTTACCGAATCGGAACGTGGCTCAGCTGGCCAGCAGACGCTCACTTGCTGCTGCTGCTGCTGCTGCTGCTGCTGCTGCTGCTGCTGCTGCTGGAGTACGGCTGGTTGCTGCTTCTGCGAGCTGTCTACAGGCCTTGTTCTGCTACATATTCGCAAGCCTCGAACATCATCTTCATCTAAGCTCAACCGCTTATTTTCACTGCTATTTTATATTTACTAACGTTGTTTATATCCATCCCAATACGTATTTTTGTGATTTTTCGCGTATAGGCTGATTTAGCAGTATCTGTGCGTGGCCCTTTCTTTGGTCATCCGTGTTAACGTGCCTCGTATCTGCGTCGTAGTGCATTTGCGTAGTTGACAGCCGTGTTTTAGATTAAATGTTCACTTTCTTCTTTCTTTTTTTTTTCATGGTGTAATTCTGAATTGAAAGTGTGCGCAACATGACGCGTGTGTTAGTAGCGGGGCGATTCAATGGTGAAATACGTCGACCAGTATTTCCCATCGCGCCGTGGCTTGTCTGTTAGCGTTGCCGCACACAGAGGAATAAGGATTGAGCACTTGCTCTCAATGATTGCTGACAAGCTGGCCAGTTTTGATGTTGTCATTGTACATGTTGGCACGAACAACACTGTTGACAGTGTCAACATGTGCATGGACAAATATCGCCAGCTCGCTCAGGGAATCATCGAAAGCAATCCCACGTTGCATGTAGCTTTTTCTGCCATTCTTCCTCGGGGGAAGAATCGGTACCGCCAAGGGGAAGAACAGTTGTGTGATGTTTGTCATTTGAATGACCACTACAGGAATGTGAATGCCGCACTCGCACAGCTTTGCCTGGAGAGGGGCTTCACTATCCTGGATAGTCTTGTGGACAGCTGGCCTGGATTCCTGAGCAGGGATGGTGTCCACCCCAGCCGGCTTGGCAACAAGGTGCTGGCAGACTTCCTGCACCGTGAGGCCTGTGCCTTGTCCACCCAACTAGAGAGGAGACACATCCAACAGTCCTACAAGGAGTCCAAGGCATCTGCATGGAGTGGGTGGGCTCGGCAGGAGCACTTTTCCATCAACTTGGAAGTCGATTTTCTAGCACTTGGTATGCATGCAGTTCAATATTCTCCAGCAGTAGGTGGACCTTCCGCTGCACCAGCTCCTGTCTGGAAAACCAGCAGTGCTCTCATGCAGAGACACGACACTGACCAACTGGCCAGTACCATTCATGGTATTGGCTTTACGCTCGTTGGCGGTGTCCGCGTTCGCTGCAAGGGAAGCAAGGCTTGGTGGACCTGGGACAGCCTGCCTTCCCCCATTTTCCATGGCACAAGTGTACCATGCAAGGGAAACACTGAGGAGAGGCCTATTCAGCCAATGATCCCTAGTCGAGGTGCAAGCACCACTTGTGACAGGAAAATAAGGAGAGCCTCACAGGAGCATGAGAGTGCTCTTGTGCGCTCTTCTGTGGGGGAAGAGGAGGCCAGTGCTGGAAAAGCAGCTGTGCCACAGGCTGTCGGCGAGTGTGGCGACACTGAGTGGAAACTGGTGCAGTCAAAGAAGAGCCGACGGAAGGCTGCGGCACTGCACAAGCAAGAACAGAGCTCTAAACTGTGTGCAGACAGTGAAGGCAAAGTTCTTGCTGTGACAGCTGCCAAGTCCATCAGGTCCACTTCACCTATGACAGCAGTTGTGAGCCAGAAACAGATTCAGTCTGCTTCTTCCGCTGTCTGTGGTAGAAAGCCTGAAGGACGAGCCAGTGTCTCGCACAACGTCATTCGTGATAGTTTTAAAAAGGTGCAGTGTGTTCCTAGCAAGCAGTTGAAAGACTGCTCAGTTAGTTCCGCGACTCACTGTGAATCTGTCACGAATGACGCTGTGAACGAGGTTTCTGTCTGCAAAAGCCATCTACCAGCACTGACTCGGGATTGCATGCGAATTGAGCGCGATCCTGGCACAGAGGCTGGTGACCCTATGGAAGCTGGGTGCACTGCAGCTGTGCAGTACAAGTATTGTGAGGCTGCTTTGACATCCAGAAGCAGGCCTGTCAGCCCTGGTGCCCAGGCTATTTGTGTAAACACTGGTGCCAACCCAACCGTCCTCAATAACCCAGTATATACACTATATGGTGGCGGTAGCAAAGTTTATTTAAATGCAACATTTGATAACTTTCCTTCTTTTAAGAAAAGCTTTGATGAGTGGTGCAGGGAGGGCAGGCATGTAGTCATGATAAATAAGAGTAATAAAAGTCCATTCACATCAGAAGATAAGGACTTCGAGTATATTAGGATTAAATATAGCTGCATTCACGGTCGCACAATAAAGCCCAGGGGGATAGGAAAGCGACCAAAGCAAGCTTACAATGGTACTGGCTGTGAAATGACAGTATCGGTAAGCCTATGTAAATCGCCTACTCTGCACTACAAGATAACTAAACTACAAGCTAAGCATAACCATCCCACAGAATATTATGATTTGTATCCTCAGAAGAGGCTCCTGAATCATGGAGAAAAAGAAGAATTCTTTGACTTAGCTAAATGTAATATTGGCTCAAAGGATTTTAAAAACTTGGTCGAGCAAAAAACTGGTAAGAAGTTAACTACAAAGAACATTAATAATTACAAGCAACGATTTTCTATTCCTATCCGCAATGAGCAGGCTCATGGTGAAATGGTTTTAGAGAAGGTAGAGACCTTGCTAAAAAATTATCCAAACTGGGTTATTCACTATGAAATGAATCAAAATAATAACCTGCAATTCATACTTCTTCAAACAACGCATATGCGTGAGATTTTGGAAAAGTATCCAGAGATTCTATTTATTGATGGAACGTATAAAGTGAATATTGAGGGTTATATTCTTTACTCTATATTAGTTCAAGACGGTCGTGGTCGTGGGAGACCTGTGTGTTATGCCTTCTTACGAAATGAGACGACTGAAATTGTTGAGCCCATGTTCACAAAGTTTGTAGATTTCAACCCATTTGTTGTGTCTGCTTGCAAAGTAGTGATGATTGATAAAGATCTCAATGAACTGCGCATTTTAACCAGTATTCTTCCTAATTCTAACATACTTTTGTGTACGTGGCATGTGTTGCATTTTTTCCAGCAAAAGGTTAATGAAAAAGCTAGACAGCAACGTGATCAGTTGCTTCCTCTCTTAAAAAGCTTAGTTTATTCCCCCACTGAGCAAGACTACTTCGATAAGCTTGCTAACCTCCAAGCTATGACTTGCACAGATTTCATTTCTTACTATATGCATAACTGGCACTTGTGTAAGGAAATGTGGGTACATGCATATCGGCAAGCCCTTCCTACATTTGGTAATAATACTAATAATCGCATTGAGTGCCACAATCAAAAGATTAAAAATTATCTCTCTTCAAGCATGCATTTGGTTCAAGCAATAGAAGCATTGGTAGGTTACATTGATAATGATTCTTTATCTCTACAGTTCTCTAAGCTTAAAGAAATGAAGCTGAACCTAAACATAAATGATTTCAATGACCAATTTCAGCTAGAATTGTCCCGTAATTGCACTTCTGAGGCTACAAGTAAAGTACTAGAGCAGTATGAGAAGTTTAAAAATGTAAGTTATCAAGTCACTTCCACTCCTAATTCTTATGTTGTAGTTTCATCAAGATCACAGTACAGTGTTTCATTGTGCTTGGCTTCTTGCACATGTGCTTTTTATAACCAGTACACTCTGCCTTGTGCACATATTTTAGCAGTGCGTGACTTTACTAAGCAAGATCTTTTCGACAAGGCTTGCATACCAGACAGGTGGTGCAAGGATCATTTCCTGAGTGACAGCTGCACAACCACTAGTGCCACACCAGTGGTAACAAGCAGCATTCAGTCACCACCCTGTGTGAAGCTTGACACTGCACAAGAGAAGTATACTTATGCTTATAGGAGTCTTTGCGAAATGTCAAAAACCGTGGCTAACGTATTAGTTATCTAATTGTGGTGAGAAGGAGTTAATGGAAAAACTTTCGTCCTGCGAGGCTTTCTTCAGAAATTTAACCACATTTCCTCGTAACCAAACTTCAGCAGCCATAAAGGCTGCACCAGCTCAGTTAGCACAAACTACTGCCACAAGTTATCTTGGGCATTCTAACAGTACAAAACTTGTGGTACCTTTGGTTAAAGCAAGAAGGGGGCGGCCAAAAAAAATGAGAGCTGTCAAGCGTAAATTTTTCCCAAATCAAGTAAAAAAGGTAGGCCTTGCAACTGTTAAAGTAGACATGCTAAATGTCTACAAACGGTATTCTCTTTCAGATGCAGATTTAAATGTTCTGGTACAGGGCACCTCCATATCAGATAGCGTAATCAATGTCGCACAGTATTTAATTCAGAAAAAGTATCCTACTTGTGTCGGCTTTCAAGATGTCTTACTGGGCCGATGTTTACAATTCACTCAAATCAAAGGCCCTTTCGTTCAAATCTTGCATGTTCAGAACCCCACTCATTGGCTTACAGTAACAAATGTTGGTGCGGACAAAAACACAGTCTTCATATATGATTCAATTGATCAAGATACCCCTCCTGACGCTGTTAGGCAAATCTGTCATATTCTAAAATTACAATCGCCAACATTAACCATTCAAACAATGAAGGCATAAAACCAGTGCAACACACTTGACTGTGGCTTGTTTGCAATTGCCAACATGTATTATATAGCGTCAGGCAGAAAACCAGAAACTTTGAACCTTAACCAAGTTATGCTACACAAACATTTGCTGCAATGCATACAGAATGGTATGATCGAAGACTTTCCCCTCATAAACTCCATGGCTGCTCGCGTACAGCCAAGAGATAGTATTTACAAGTTACATTGTGTCTGCCGGCAACCACAATATAGTGGGGTAGTATTGGACATTACTTGTGCAAGTTGTTCAAGAGGATTTCACGGAGCTTGTCTCGGCTCTTTAGCAGCTAACTTGGACAAAAAAGTATTCGTGTGTTCTCAGTCATGTTTGCTGGTTGCCAAGGAAAAGATACATTCTTCTAATTAATAATAGCATTCCATTTTGGTGTGGACATATGGCAAAATTTCTAAGCATTCTTCATGTCTCCTCCTCTAATTTTTGCTTTTCTTTAAAGGGCCACTCACCGGGTTTGGCGATTTTGAGCTGACAAGTGCAATGCGTACATCGGGAGTTTATGGTCACGTCTGCCAAACATTGCAACTCTATGCGACGCGGAAATGGGTCAAATTTCAAAACGCACGCTTCTCCCCCTTTTTTTTGGGGTCGTGCCCCCAGAGAAGGAGGTTATGATGTGCAAGTATGAATCGCCCTACATACACAGCAGTGCAGTGACGTTGGTCCTATATGTATACGACTGTGCTCTGACGCTGCCAACAGTGGCACGTGACATGACGGAAATTATTTAACGTGACATGCGTAGTTAATGTAATTTGTTGCTTGAAGAGATTAATAAAACTTGGGATACATATTGAGACGCAATAGAAGAATGTGTTTGTCTTTTGCATTTTTTCCCCGTGAATTGCAACGAGATGCCGAGATAATGTGCTGGCGTTTCGCATGCGTTTGTGTCTCCGCGGTTACTGCATCAAGCAGACTCCTGTCCTGGAAAAGAAATTAATAGTCCTGCGCATTCGAGCACTCATTATGCTCATCTTTTCAACCGCATCAAAGCCAGCATTTCCAAACAATGTCGCAAAAACAGGCAGTAGACACAATACAATGCTGGTCAACAAAAAAACACCGCTCGCGCGCTCGAGGGTTGGGCTTGTTTGAGCACGTCATGTGCACGTGACCTCTTGGTTGGATGCTGGAGAGGGTAGGAAAGAGATTTGGCTTGTGAAGGCTACAAGGGGGAGTGGCAAGGGTTTTGAGCTTGCCTCCTTTCATCCTTGTTTCCTGCTGTTAAAAAAAGAAGAAACTGTTTTCTCAGCCCGTAATGAACCGATTGAAAAACTTTTTGTGGTATAATGCTCTCCGTTAGATACACAACTTCCACAGTTTGTTATGGGACCTGGTGAGTGGCCCTTTAAGGACTGACTTCAGGGATCGAAAGT